TGACTCAAGTGCACAAACCTCTTGGAGTATGATTTGACTCATTTAGCACTTCGAAAGGGGCTTTAGCATTATTCCCATCAATAAACGAACGTGGAATGTATTGTGCGTAAGCCGAGACTAGAAGAGTGCCAGCTCCAGGGAGGATGCCATTTCCATGCTGTGCACCATATTCCAGGCTGCTGTGACCAGCAGAGCAGGTTGTACTATGTAGAATTAAAAATTACAACAAAAATGAGATGTAGGGCAGAAATACCCAAATGTTCCTTTTTTTTCTTGCACTGAGTTATTCACTACACAAGAGATGATATGAAGTCTGTGCAAGGAAAATAAGCAATTACCTTCTAGATAAAGCAAATCAAAAGACATATGTGGACATTAGAAAATGCCAATAAAGCCATAAAAGATAACACAAAATAACTTTGAAAGGGGAGGCACATAGTCTCGTTACTGCTCATGGGTGTTCATGCACGCCTTGGATGTTGGCCACTTATGTAACCCATTGCCCGGGTTTTCAGCATAGTTATTTCCGTATCCAAGGGTTAATTGACTGACTGATTGATGGGCACAGATACAGATGTCATGGAAACCCTACACTACACGGTAATAGGCATCATGACTCACTCTGGTGAGTGAGCAGGCAGAGCCAGCTGTACACAGAGAATGCCCTGCTGGAAAGGCATGATGGTTGTCAATAGTCACCAGAATGAACGCTGCTCAAAAAATTCTGGTACCCTCACTGCAGGGTTAAGTTGTAAGACCTAGGCCTTTTTATTAACAGAATGAGCAGACACTTGTGAAAGGGAAAACAAGATGCAAACCACTGGGTAAAATTCCAATGATATCTAAACTGGAGTATTTGTACCACATTACATGAAATTACATGAAGAGCTTCCACTCAAAAAAAAGACAACATGGTAATCATTAGTTAATAGGAATGACTAGAAAATGTTATTTTCTTTACAATAGTGGAAATAATGCAATAGCCCCTTCCTAAATGCCCACTGAGTCTAATCTTCCGAGAACTTTATCCACCCGTGGTGAGTAATTCCCCTTATCTTGGCCTTAAGCCAAATTTTCTATGACAGCATGTTCCCCCTACCCAGTCCTCACCCAATTTTTTTCATGAATTGATGGACATGTTAACCAGATCCATTGAGTTGTACATTTTTTTCAAGTAAGATGCAAAATCAAAGTTTCTCTATGACTGTTGTTTAATATTCAGCCAAAGAAAAGTAAATGGCTGACTAGATTGACACCATATAGACCAGTGTCATCCAAACTGGGGTCCGCATACCCCTGGGGGTAAGCAACACAGATCATAGGGATACATAAACAAACAAGGAACACACACACCTCACATTTGAGTATTTTTCAAGCATTTTGTTTTTATTTGTGTATCAAATTCGAATTTATTGACCAACACCCCTGCAATGCAGTCTTTTCATAATTTGTATATTATTTGCATCATCCTAATTAAAAGTTTGTTTATCCATGGTGGATGGGGGGGGGGTACATAACAGTACAAGAAGGTAATAAAGGATACAATAGGCGATAATGTTTGGACAACACTGATATAGACCATTAGTAAATGGCTGACTAGATTCATAACATATAGACCATTAGTAGGTAGCAGTGAGAGAATAAAGACTAATCAATTTCCATCCTTTAAATTCTGTTCCAAGCAACCTAATACAAGCTATTGTATTAGATGCCTTTGCATAAGAAACAAAATTTCCAAGCCTAAAGCATGCCACATAAATATTTTTTGCCATTAAATTACAGGTTTCTTACTTGTACATTTACTAAGTTATAAGGATGCCAAATATTCACCTGAACTTCTGTACTGGATGTGGTATCTGTTTTTTCTTTGGTGGTAGCAGGAGAGTTCCTTCGAGCATTTGAGGCGTTTCCGCTTCTCCCTCTCCCTCGGCCTCTGCCACCTCTTCTACCACTCCCTCTTGGACTTTCTGGAGTATTATTCTGTAAAATATAACCTTGGTAATAAAACATATATCTATAAAAAATGTATCAATGATTTCTCACCTCATACATCTGACTATCATTTACATTTCCTGGTACTGAATCCTCTTTGTTATTATAAATCTATGCTAAAAACAAATAACTGTCAAGTGAATAAGGAGACACAAGATCAGGAGACACAAAATCAGTATAAAAGGCAAAGACTTGGAAAAAATTAAATTAGCTCTAATATACAGCATGTCTTCTGTATATTTGTGTACTTGCACCTGCATTTGGGTATGGGTGTGGGTTGTGTGTGGTTGTGTAAGTGTGATTATGTGTTCAAAGTTTTGTGTTTTTTGTTGGTATGTGTTTCTGTGTATATATTTTTTTTGCATGTGTGTGTTTCATGCATGTGTCTCTCTACTTTTATATTTTTGCCTGCATATTTTTTTGTGTGTGTTATCATCATGCCTGTGTGTTTTTGTGTGTCTTTAGGTTTGTCTTTGCATGTGTGTGTTCTTGTGTCTTTGTTTTTTTGTTGTTTTTTTGGTTGTAGCAAAAGTAATGAAGTTAATTTCTTGCATATATATTGTAAAGAATTAAATATAGAATTTTATCTACAAACCACTGCTGGTCTCCTCCTCCTTTGTGAACCTTCTGATTCTTCTGGAGTTTGCACTTCATCCACTGACAAGTTCTGACTAGCAATGCTATCATCATATGAACGGTTTTCAAGTTCTGAATTTTCGGATTCTTCAACTCTACTTGACAAGTTAAGGTCAAAATTATTTTGAGCTTGTGTATCATTCTGGCTTGAGATCTCTTCTTCTTCCTGATTTATTGACTGTTCACCAATGATGCTCAAGTCCAGGTCCTGGCGTGCTACAAAAAATTATACAATTTTAGTATCAATCACACTGTTTTTGGCACATTTCTTATGATTAATTATTCAAAAATACTAAAACAAACCCATGTATCATACACATACCTGAACAGAATCTACTTCTCTTTTCTTTAAGAATACACAGATAAACTGGTTCAAAATCAACAAAAATATAAATTTCTCACCTTCTAACCTTTCCTGTAATCTTCTTCTCCATGTAAGATCTAACTTGGGAATAGCAACCCTTGCTGGCTGAAGTACTAGACCTCCTACCATAGGGAGCACCACACTCTGCCGTGGAGAGCTGTTGCTTCCTGTAGGAGCTAATGGTAACCTAGAACCTGTCTCATGACACAGATCAATAATGAAAAAAAAATTAATAAACACAAACTTACAAAAATAAACTTGTAAGAGGCATTGAAGATTATAGCACAGATACTGCATATTTGATATAATGGTGTAATATAATTTATGACTGCATTTAAATCCTATGGAGTATTCTTTCAAGTTTACAGTACAACAGAATACTTTAACCTATTAATGTTGGGAGTGCAGGTATGCTTGCACTGTCCACTATGGGTTTATTTTATTAACTTTATTTACACACAGAAGGTTCTACAAGCGCTCAGTCAAAAAAAAAAATTGTGACTCAGTCTGCATGACCTTAGTTATTTACCCAAGTCCTTGAATTCTTGGCAAGTCTTTCAGTTTTATTACTGTCATTAGTGTTTATGACACTGCGATAAAACTAATGGCAATAGTTATAATAATAACATCAATAATAACAGTAAAAGAAATAAAACATTTTTCCTAGTAATTCAATGTGAGAGCAAGTAGGCCTTGTAACTGACTAAGCACTTTTGAATTGTCATAAGTACCTAAGATTAATAAAACCATGGTACGTACTCTGAATCAAAAGGTTAGTCTACTAAGAAAGGCACTTTAATAGGAGAGTTTCTCTTACGAATGACATGGTTTACCCCATTTATGACGGGTGTCCCACATATGAGACACCTGGAAAAATAAACATTGCTGGGTGTCCCGCCAGTGTGACGTTGGACCAGAGCTTGCGCTCTGATTACGTCGCAGGCCGCGGCCAGTGCACAGGCAGTTTCCGGGCCAGCCCCATGTGCCAATTTTGTAGCTGCCCGGAAACTATTATTTTCGGGTTCAAAATATACCAGCATTAGTGGGTTAACAAGTGAGCATAAAAATCATGAGAGCTGTTCAATACATGAAGCATCAACTATTAACCATTTTTTCCTTTTAAATACTTGAGGTAAAAATGCTTGAAAACAATTCTTGCAGTAACTACATGAATCATGTGCTTATAATCAACCTCTTACAGACAAATACTATTTCAGAATGGGTAAAACAATAGCATACTCAATGGAGAAGTATGAGTGGAGGAGGAAGCAGAGTGGAGGAGGAGGAACAGGAGGAGTAGGAGGAAGGATAAGTGCAAGGGAGGAGGAGTAGGGGAGGAGGAGGAGGAGGAGGAGGGAGGAGGAGGAGGAGGAGGAGGAGGAGGAGGAGGAGGAGGAGGAGGAGGAGGAGGAGGAAGGAGGAGGAGGAGAGAAGAGGAAGAGGAAGAGAAGAGGAAGAGGAAGTGGAAGAGGAGAGGAGGAGGAGGAGGAGGAGGAGGAGGAGGAGGAGGAGGAGGAGAGGAGGAGGAGGAGGAGGAGGAGGAGGAGAGGAGGAGGAGAGGGAAGAGGAAGAGGAGAGGAGGAGGAGGAGAAAGAGAAGGAAGAGGAGGAGGAGAAAGAGAAGGAAGAGGAGGAGAAGGAAGAGGAGGAGGAGAAAGAGAAGGAAAGGAGGAGGAGGAAGAGGAAGAGGAGGAGGAGAGAAGAGAAGAAGAGGAAGAAGAGGAAGAAGAGGAAGAGGAACAGAGTAGGAGGAACAGAGGAGGAAGAGGAGGAGGGAGAGGAGGAGGAGGAGGAGAGGAGGAGGAGGAGGAGGAGGAGGAGGAGGAGGAGGAGGAGGAGGAGGGAGGAGGAGGAGGAAGAGGAGGAAGAGGAGGAGAAGGAGGAGAAAGAAGAGGAGGAAAAGGAGGAGGCAAAAGAGGAGGAGGAGGAGGAGGAGAGGAGGAGGAGGAGAGGAGGAGGAAGGAGGAGGAGGAGGAGGGGAGGAGGAGGAGGAGGAGGAGGAGGAGGAGGAGGAGGAGGAGGAGGAGGAGGAGGAGGAGGAGGAGGAGGAGGAGGAGGAGGAGAGGAGGAGGAGGAGGAGGAGGAGGAGGAGAGGAGGAGGAGGAGGAGGAGGAGGAGGTTAAGAAGGGGAGGGGAGGGGAGGGAAGGAGAGAGGAGAGGAGAGGAGAGGAGAGGAGAGGAGAGAGAGGAGAGGAGAGGAGAGGAGAGGAGAGGAGAGGAGAGGAGAGGAGAGGAGAGGAGAGGGAGAGGAGAGGAGAGGGAGAGGAGAGGAGAGGAGGAGAGGAGAGGAGAGGAGAGGAGGCAGAGAAAGAGGAAGAGAAAGAGGAAAGAGGAGAGAAAGAGATGAGAAAGAGGAAGAGAAAGAGGATGAGAAAAGAGATGAGAAAGAGAAAGAGAAAGAAGAGGAGTAAGAGGAAGAGGAAGAGAAAGAAGAAGAGGAGGAAGAGGAAGAGGAAGAAGAAGAGGAACAGAGGCAGAGGAAGAGGAATAGAGCCAGAGGAAGAGGAACAGAGGCAGAGGAAGAGGAATAGAGGCAGAGGAAGAGGAATAGAGGCAGAGGAAGAAGAGCAGAGGCAGAGGAAGAGAGAGGCAGAGGAAGAGGAACAGAGGCAGAGGAAGAGGAACAGAGGCAGAGGAAGAGGAACAGAGGCAGAGGAAGAGGAAGAGGAATAGAGGCAGAGGAAGAGGAACAGAGGCAGAGGAAGAGGAAAGAGAGAGGAAGAGGAACAGAGGCCAGAGGAAGAGGAAGAGCAGAGGCAGAGGGAGAGGAGCAGAGGCAGAGAAGAGGAACAGAGGCAGAGGAAGGGGAACAGAGACAGAGGAAGAGGAACAGAGGAAGAGGAACAGAGGAGGAGAAGGAACATAGGAGGAGGAGGGAAAGAAATGGAGGAGGAGGGGAAGAAGAGGAGGAGGAGGAAGAAGGAAAGGAAGAGGAAGAGGAAGAGGAGGAGAGAAGGAAATGAGGGAAAAAGGAGGAAAGGAGGGAAGGAGGAGGAAGGTGTAGGAGGAAAGAAAGAAGAGGGAGGAGGAGGAGGAGGAGGAGGAGGAGGGGAGGAGGAGGAGGAGGAGGAGGAGGAGAGGAGGAGGAAGGAGGAGAGGAGGAAGAGGAAGAGGAAGAGGAAGAGGAAGAGGAAGAGGAGAGGAGGAGGAGGAGGAGGAGGAAGAAGAAAGAGGAGAGGAAGAGGAGGAGGAGGAGGAAGAAGAAGAAGAGGAAGAGGAAGAGGAGGGGGAGGAAGAGAAGTTTTATAGAAACAGGAAAGAAAAAAAACTGACTAAAATTTTAACAACATTAACCTGATGTTCGTGGTAATGAGAAGGCAGATGAGGATTTGCGGGATGTACTTGAGGAACGGCTGCGGCGATTCTTCAGAGCCCCTCCAGCCAGGCCTTTTAACTTGGTCAGACTCTCCACTACCACCAGTACATTTTGCATGGACTCACTAATGGCAGCATTGAATGGTTCACTGTATTCCTATAATCCAAAGATAGACAAACAAACCTATTGTAAATGTATATTTACATATAGAGACATATCAATCAATCAATCTCACTACTTATTAATCAAATGATGAAATTAATGCAATAAAATATGAAACAATTTTTTTTTCTGAGTTCAATATGGAACAAGTAAAAGAAAAAGTATTCCAAGTAATAATCCACTGAAATTCAGAGAACTGATAAAGAAAAAAAATATTTTATCAGGTTTATAGTCAATGAAAATCAGTAAACTACCAAGCTCTGCTGGTAGGATTCTCTATAATCAATAACATTTGTCTGAATAATGGAAAACTCATTTTCTACACACTAATTGCTTATAACCCAAAACTTTCTTAGAAATATAATAGAATTTGGTAGCGAAGGGTAGAGTGATAAGTAAAGTGACTCCTTGATTGCCAAAGCAGCGACATTTTGCAAAACAGAACTACAGTCAACACTACATTTTCCTGTTTGAATTGGGATAAATGAAACAGGTTATTTCACAAAACCCAACTAATCACTACACATCATGACATTGTACGACAACTAGACAGATGTGACACCAAACAAGTTGACGCCATACTGCTTGACTTTGCCAAAGCCTTTGACAAAGTTCCCCACAAAAGACTGACTCCTAAATTACCACATTACAGGATCACAGGACCAATACTTCACTAGATCACTGCTTTCTTGACGTGTAGGACCCAACGCGTCTAACTCGACAGTGTATCTTCTGACCCTGTCCCTGTTTCTTCTGGTGTCCCACAAGGCACTGTTCTTGGCCCCCTTCTTTTCCTTCTATACATTAATGACCTTCCACTTTCGACTCCTAATTCTTCTACTAGACTTTTTGCTGACGACAGCCTTTTGTTATGACCTATAAAAACTGAAGACGACTGTAGACTCCTCCAGCAAGACACTGACGCGCTTGAACAGTGGGAAAGACTATGGCAAATGTCCTTTAGACCTGACAAATGCAAAGTTCTCCATTTCACAAGATCCTACACACCTATCCACTACACCTACACCTTACACAACCATCCCTTAACAACTACAGCAACTCACAAATACCTCGGTATCCATCTATCCAACAATGTCACCTTTAACACACACACCGACTTCATCATTAACAAAGCTAACAGAACACTGGGGTTTCTGAGGAGGAACCTACACAACTGTACCCCGGACATCAAACACATAGCTTACAACACACTTGTACATCCAACACTAGAGTACTGTACGGCTGTATGGGACCCCTACACTAAACACAACATTGAGACCCTCATGCAGGTTAATACTTGGGCTGCCAGGTTTATTACTCGCAATTATTCACATACTCCTGGTATTACATCTCACATAAAAAACATTAAAATGGATCTACTCGAGACGCGAAGACAAGCATACCAACTTACAATCATGTACAAAATCACAAACAACCTTGTAGACATCAACAAACATGAATACTTACACGCAACACAGGAACTCACAAACCAGTAAATTTGTCACATACCACACCGACACTAACACTTACAAGCACTCATTCTTTCCACATACTATACGCGACTGGAACAGGCTCCCCCAACACATAATTGAAGCAAAAACACTTAACACTTTCACAAACAAACTAAATAAACACATAACACTACAAACACCTTCACAAAAACTGACACTTCCGCTTGCACCTTGATCCTTCCCCCAGCAACCAATCACTACCAATATACATGTTATGCGCTCATTTAGCACCCTACGCATTAATATTGAGATTGAGATTGAGATTTGTCAATTTCAATTAACCTTACAAAACCCTTATGATATCAGAGCACAAATAAAATCCATACACTTGTTATACTAAAAAACATTTAAAATCTTACCCATAATAGCCTTTAAAAACAAATTAGAGAAGAACTTACCACCAACACTCGATACCAAATTCAATCCCTACATGTCTCTCCTATAAAAAATACATTCATATATACATATAAATATACTCAACATAAAAAGAACTGCCTTACTCTTAGACGCAGTTCCACCTCCCGTTCAATTGCTGCCTCATTATCTGTATTACCACTTCGGAGTAATTCCTGGGCATCTTGTAACTCTGCTTTCAGTGAAATCACTTTATTATACCTGAAGTTCCAAGAATGGTTCACTGTTAAAATTGGTTCAACAAAAACAAAAAGTTCATGGTATTATCAAAGATACCTATTTGTAATAATAATTATATAACACAATAAGAAAGAATATAATAATTGAACTCATCAAAATATATAAAAAATGATGATAAATATGCAATTCATATAACTGATTTTTTTTTTTTTTCACAACATACAAACTTAATTACCTTTAGATACCACATACTAGATCAACCTATATCATGCTTCACATTGTTAAAACAAAATAATTAAACAATTATTCAAATTCAATTTACAGTCATAGATAAAACACAGCACTGACTAGGTAATAAAATCTATCTTCTATATTCTGTATCATAAAAATTGAAAGTGAAAAGCTCTAACAACCAAGATAACATTTAGATAAATTTGATAATACATTAATTTTTTTTTTTCTTATAGAACCCAACCTGATTCTTAAATTCCTATAGCAATTACATAACATGCTTAAATGATAACAAAGCAGTAAAAAAAATAAATACAAACCAGTGTTGTGTTTCAATTTTCTGTGACGCTAAAGCTTTCGCGAGGGCTCGGTTGTTGCTCCTCAGCTTTGCCAGTTTCATATCATACATGGATGAGACATCATGCCCTGAATGAGCAAACGGAAAAGGAAGAAAGATGTAATTCATCCACACCCTTCCTCCAAACAATGCAATATTCCAAGAACTGGTATGAATAGCAAATATGAAAACCATAGCATTTTACATGATACTGATCAATTTACCCTTACCCAATGATCCCCAGCTACGATTTGGATTTAAACTTCTCTTGAACCTAATTTTCTGAAGTTTTCTCGTAGTCTTTTGTCTTCTGCTTTTGGGAGCAATGACTGCGAACTCCTTTTTTCCAGTTGGCTGATTCTGAGTATCCCCCATTGTTGTTATAATCTGAAAATAAATAAACAATTAAGCATACTAAATAATTGCATGAAATTTTCAATATTAGGATAGTCTGGACATGATATGAATCCATTCAAATAAATACCATAGCTTAGAACCATGAAAACAGAAGCTGAAGGTGACTCCATATCTACATCTGGAATTATCAAATATACTATAATCAAAATGTATGTGCAAGAGTATATCAGCCTCATAAATCTCTATATCAGCATCATAAAACCCCCCTACCAAGGATCCACCATCCCCTAACCCAGAGAGGTTTGAGTGACATTCTGAGATCTTGGCCCACGAGGTAACATCCCTCACTGCTTGTTTGACCCTGAGCTACTATGAGATGGGAGTTTGCTGACATTTGCATTCAGCTTACTTATCAATTCTGCTAAATATTTCTACTGCACCAGGGGTTAATTCTTTACAGTAAGGACGCTTTCACGAGAGATCAAGTCCCCAATTCCACATCAAAATAATTATTCATCAATCTAAGTTGCTGTGACTGGGTGTACCCTTCAGGCATGGCCCAAGGGAAGGGTTGATGGGGGGCTCTGCCCTTCAACATCCCCCCAGGAAACATGGTCTTCACCTCAGTATGCATAGTAACAAAGAGCTGAAACTCAGGAGCATCAAGTGTACGAAGGCTGAGAGCTCTGCTTTCTTTTTCCTTTGTCTATGGCATTACCGTTCTTGTCTGCAGATTATTTTTTGTACCAACAACTATAACTTTATGTCCTCTACAAAAATATCATATTCAATTTCCCCTAAATTAGTGCGTCCATACCGTAAAGATGAATTCCCCTGGGTTAGCTGCCATCAACAGGAGTCCACTCACAACAATTTTGATGAATTTTGGAAAGTGAACCTGTTCTAAAAATCACCTTGCAACCTTTACTAGTTATATGGCAATGTAATGCAGTGGTTATGTAATGCAGTCGTTATATACACGGATCCCCGTGTACAGTAGTCCAAAAGTACTGAATCAGTACACGGATATGACGGAAATAGCAAGCCAAACCAACCAATCAAAATGCGTTAGGTATTTTAAATTCCAAACATTGAAAACCAAGATGGTGGCAGCCCCAATACCTCCTGCGCCTGGTTTGGAGGATATGCAGAATTTACATCTTTTGACGAATTCAGTGTCAAATTAAAGAAGTTCGAGGAGGATAGTAAATGTTGATTTACGAAACGAGATGCAGGCACAGTGAAAAAGGCGAACAGCTTACTGTAGCCAGGCCCCAGTGGCCAACAGCCAACTCTGTACACCGAGGCGCTGATATACGCATATGCTAGGAATCGGTACACAGATCTCCGTGGATATAGGTTTAGGTTTAGGGTTAGGGTTAGGGTGAGGGTGAGGGTGAGGGTGAGGGTGAGGTGAGGTGAGGTGAGGTTGAGGTGAGGTGAGGTGAGGTGAGGTGAGGTGAGGTGAGGTGAGGTGAGGTGAGGTGAGGTGAGGTGAGGTGAGGTTAGGTTAGGTTAGGTTAGGTGGTTAGGTTAGTTAGGTTAGGTTAGTTAGGTTAGGTTAGGTTAGGTTAGGTTAGGTTAGGTTAGGTTAGGTTAGGTAGGTTAGGTTAGGTTAGGTTAGGTTAGGTTAGGTTAGGTTAGGTTAGGTTAGGTTAGGTTAGGTTAGGTTAGGTTAGGTTAGGTTAAGTTAGTTAGGTTAGGTTAGGTTACTAGTTAGGTTAAGGTTAGTTAGGTTAGGTTAGTTAGGTTAGGTTAGGTTAGGTTAGGTTAGGTTAGGTTAGGTTAGGTTAGGTTAGGTTAGGTTAGGTTAGGTTAGGTTAGGTTAGGTTAGTTAAGTTAAGTTAAGTTAAGTTAAGTTAAGTTAGGTGAGGTGAGGTGAGGTCATTTTCGGTACACGTGCATCTCCGTGCATGGAGGTCTCCATATGCCAGTATACAGATCTCTGTGGACGTAGGAATCACTTTTGGATTTCGGTACACAGATGCAGATCCGTGCACGGAAGAATTAGGTTTGGTTTGGGTATACAGAGATCCATGTATGGATGGTGACAAATCACCCTTCTGTACACGGATCTGTGTATATAACTGCTTCCATGTTAGGAATCAGTACTCGGATCTCTGTGGACACAGAAATGACTTTCGGATTTGGGTACACAGATCCATGTAAGGAAGAATCACGTTTGGGTTTGTGTACACAGAAATCCGTATACGGATGGTGAAAAATCAGCCTTCCGTACACAGATCCATGTATATAACCCTAGCCTTTCAGTAATGTATCCTTATACACACCAAACTCTGTAGACTGGAGGACCACAACAAGGAATACCATGGTCTCCATGCCTCACACTCCAGTAGAGGCCAACAAACCTCTCCCAGAAAATTTGGAAGTACAAATATTGGTTCTTTATTTCACAATAATCAACATAGAGGTATGAAAACATCTTGCCATGCAGGAATGAGTGACTGCAGCCTCTACTGAGGTGCAGTTCCAAGGAAATTGATAAGCAACAGCGGCTTACCACTACTTAAGAGCATACTGTCTTTTCAGCTACAGTTGTTTTAAGTGTTCTTCGCAACCTTTCCATGAGGACTTCCTAGATCACCACATATTCCTGTTCAGGATAACTGCCAGGGTGACATTCAGAAAGCCAACAAGGTTAACCAAGATATCCCTTATATCCCTTATATTCTGATGCTGAGGAAATTATACACCTAACTGGACTCTGCTGTGCAGTAACAATATACTTACTCAAATATCAATACATGTCTCGCAAAAATAAACGAAATCTTTGCTTTTCTTTTTTTATTCTCATTCACAATTAAAGTAACCTACTTATTGTTCACACACTAAAATACCTCCATTTACTTTCCTTTCTGGACAAACCTTCAGCAGAAGGCATCCACACACCATATGCTATAATCCCCCGTCTCAATAACCACACATAACCCCCTCTAATCAACAATATCCACAATAATTATTATAATAATTCACGCTCTCC